TAATCCCATGGTGTGGGCAGGTGTCAAGTCCTGCTAGAAAATGAATTCAGCATCTCCATAAAGCTCGTCTGCTGAAGGAAGCATAAAGAGCTCTAAAATGTCCTTGTAGACGGCTGCGCTGGACTCTGGACTTAATAAAGCACTGTGGACCAACACCAGCAGATGACATGGCTCCCCAAACCAACACAGACTGCGGAAACTTCACACTGGACTTCAAGCATCTTGGATTGCCTCTCCATTCTTCCTCCAGACTCTGGGACCTTGGTTTCCAAATGAGATGCAAAATTTGCTCTCATCAGAAAAGAGGACTTTGGACCACTGAGAAACAGACTAGTTCTTTTTTTCTTTAGCCCAGGTAAGACGCTTCTGACGTTGTTTGTTGTTCAGGAGCGGCTTGACAAGAGGAATACCACATTTGAAGCCCATGTCCAGGACCCGTCTGTGTGTGGTGGCTCTTGATGCAGCAACTCCAGCCTCAGTCCACTCCTTGTGAAGCTCCCCCACACATTTGAATGGCCTTTTCCTGACAATCCTCTCCAGGCTACGGTCATCCCTGCTGCTTGTGCACCTTTTTCTTCCACACTTTTCCCTTCCACTTAACTTTCTATTAATGTGCCTTGATACAGCACTTTGAGAACATCCAACTTCTTTGGACTGCAATTACCTTTTGAGGCTTTCACTCCTTGTGGAGGGTGTCAATGATGGTTTTCTGTACAACTGTCAGGTCAGCAGTCTTCCTCATGATTGTGAATTCCACTGAACCAGACTGAGAGACCAATTAAAGGCTCAGGAACCCTTTGCAGGTGTTTTGGATTAATTAGCTGATTAGAGTGTGACACAATACTACAATACTGAACATTTTCACAATATTCTAATTTTCTGAGATTTTGAATTTGGGATTTTCATAAGCTGTAAGCTATAATCATCGAAATGATATCAAATAAAGGCTTGAAATATCTCACTTTGCATGTAATGAGTCTATATAATATATTTTCACTTTTTAAGTTGAATTACTGAAATAAATGAACTTTTGCATGATATTCAAATTTTTCGAGTTTCACCTGTACAAACTCTGTGGTCTGCTCTATTGTTAGCTCCTATGAGGTGCAAAGTCTTATGGGTAATCTTTCTTGTTAACTTCCTGCGAACTGATGAACCATTGTTCGCTTCTTCCCTACACAGTTCACAGTGCCCTTTGAAGTGAACATGTTGTGCTCCCTGCTGTTTGGAATCTCACTTAAAATGGCCAAATACCCTGTGCAGTCCACTTAGCAGGGAACTACGGGGCGATCGGAATGCACCCTATGATGATTGTGTACTCTGTAGTATATACTGAGTTCATCTTGATGGGGACATGAATTCCTGTACTAAAATTCAAAGCAATTCATTCCACAGTGGTTGAGAAATTTTACCCTGAATCAAATGTCAACCTTGTGATGGCACTAAGGAAAGAATCACCAAGGCAAGACAGCAATTTTATTTATATAGCATGTTTATTATAGGTCAACTCAGTGCGCTTTACATTGCATACAGCACCAAATTCAGTAGGATTTATCCACAGGTGGCACAAGCAGGCAAAGGTCAAAACTACAATCCAAACAGATCCAACAAGAGTAGGCAATAATCAAAAGTCCAAAAACAGGCAAAAGGTCAGACATGCAACATAACACAGCAATCTGGCAGAGAACAACAGAAGTAGACATGATGAGTGGCTGACGATGAAATGAGTTGCAGGAGGAGTGGGTGGAGTCAGCCAGGTGACTGCAGGGCTGATGAGAGAAATGTGAAAAGGGGCGAGTTCAGACAATACGTAGCAAAACTTTTTTTTTCCCAACGAAAACGGTGGTTCGTTGAACACTCGCAAGCAAAAAATCTAAATTATGAAACATGTTTATTATTTGAAATGAGGGAACTTTCGATCAGAGACCTGCAACTGCCAATGAGAGCGAGCTGACCAGGAAGTGTCACCAGCGTGTTGTGTATTTGCTTGCACTTTAAAATATATTAACCATGTGGATTCCCTCTTCTCAGCCATGAATTTATCCACAGTATTATTCTCTTTTCTTTTCTGAACAAAACATAGCACACACAAGTGCAACTGGCTGACGATGACAGTCTGCCTCCATGTTTGTTTACTTCTACAGCCATGTTTCATCCCCTATCAAGTCCCCCAGAATCGCCACACTGAAATTGTTCATTATAAACGCCAAGTGTGTGGTCCTGCATCTTGACTCAATCGCCTAGTGTTGGTGTTCTTACTATTCAAAATCTTTGTTATGTCTGTGGTATCCCACGTTTTTAAAATCAGTTAAGATTTGAAAATCCTCTGTGTGCACTAGGTATAAGCCTGGAGACAAAACCTGCTCCTTGGAGCTTTGGCATGCCTTAATTGTTACCATGGCAACTGTAATCAGTGTAAACTTGACCAATGAGCGGAAACCACAGAAACAGATTTGTCTCCTTTAGGAACAAGTTTGAGAATATGTCAGCAGAAGACTCTCAGGTGAAATCTGCACGCAATGACTGTACTTAAAATAAAATAATAATAATACAATATTTCGGAACCTGTAAGAAAAGAACCTAAATTATTCAGATGTAATAGGATATGATCTACCCATACTGTGTTTTGCAGTTCAGGGCCACCATGCTTGGTGGAGCTCAGGCTGATATATATATATATATATAATTTAAAAAAGAGTGTATAAGCTTTTGTGACTTTTTGAATAATGTCCTATGTGTAGCTAAGCACAGAAGGTTATTTACCATTAGTTTGTACCATGTCAGAAGTTATAAACAATTAATGATGTTACCAGTGCTAAATGTAAATAAGACTTTTTGTACAGCAGTCAATTAAGTCTGCAGTGGTAAATGTTTTTATTAATAAATGGATTTTGGTCCAAATGCTCTGAAACCTCTATCATGAGGATAAGTGGTCAACAATGGTCCTTTTGTGAGGTCTTCTTGTTGAATTAAAGAGCCAGCTAAAAATACAGCGCTAGTGTCATGCTGGAGGAGGATTAACACTAGACAGAGAGATTTTTCGCTACCTGGAAACCAAAACATTGTTTTTAATAATGGCTTTCTATATCTTTCTGCGCTCAAAAATGAAGGGAACACTTAAAACACAAAATGCATCTATGACTCTTGAGTCTGCATCTGCGTCCTAAAGGTGAACCTGAAGGTTCTCAGTTTTGGAGAAGTATTTGTGTGCACCAACATTGACAGCGTTTGCATTTGCAACAACAAGTAGCCTGAGTATGCAGAAATGCAATTTCATGCCAAGATGTGTACCAGAATCTGCAACGCACCACCTAATCTGCATAGACAACATCAGCTGCACCAGTCTGCATCTGTCCAGCCGCTTTCAGCACAAGTGTGTCTGTCTGGAGGTATAAATACCTTGTTTTTAATGACTTATAAAAACTATTTGGTGTGGAAAATCCTATAAAGTAAGAATGCTTTCAAAAATAGACACCACAACAGTACTTTATATACAGTATCTATATTTCATTTTAATAGATTTTTTCTAGATGGTTTATTGAGCAGAGAATATAAAAGAGCTGATAAGCTTCAAGATTCAAAGATTCAAATAACTGCAAAAAGGCTTTGATCATTACAGTCACAAGATGATAATATTTCTACTCAAATTTTGTTATACTACTTTGAATTCATTTAGTGACACTGTGTTGAGAACACGCAATTACATAAATAGCCTACTGATAATACCAATCATTACTGCTTTTCTCTATAGGCACAAAAGGACTGTAACACAGAACATTCTTGGCTTGTAGTACCAGCATGTTACCACAGAGTTTTACTCCCATGCTTGGATGGTACAACCACGTAACTTTGTCTAAGGCTACATTCAGACTGCAGGCCAATGTGACCCAAATCTGATTTTTTTGGCTCATATGTGACTGAGATCTGATCTTTTGATCACAGTGTGAACAGGCCAAGTCACATGGAATCTAATCTTTTCCAGTTCGGAATTGGGCCACTTCCATATGTGGTCCAAATCCAATACAGATCAGATCTTTTTAAATGCGACCTGAGTATCCAGACTCAGGTCGAAATTGATGAGACTTTGATGTCACTCTAGAGCCGCTGTTGTCACAGTTCTGCTGTAGACGGAGCCGCAATGAATGAAAAAGCTTCACAAAAGCCATTATTAAACATGTGTCTCTCTTCCTCCTCTACCTCGCCTTCATCTGCTCACAGATTCCCTTTCTTAAACCTGAAATCCACCAGAACGCAAGCTCTCTTCGGAGATATATGCATGTTATTTGTCCAAGCGGACAGAGTGGAGAGAGAGAGACGGAGGGAATTGTGGGGCAGGTGCGTTGTACAGCACCAGAAACTGTAATGAAAAGGACAAAAGTTGTGAACACTCCCATGAGAGGACAATAAAAAAACGAGTCTCCCGTAAGCTAACAGGAGCTAACCTCTGTTGCTCCTTGTTTCGGAATTGAGCATTAAGACCTGCATTCTGAACGTAGCCTAACTCTGTCAACTCTACTATTGTCTGCCAGTTTATATCTCTGCAGGTGACGACTGTATTGTACAGGAATGTCTGCTGTACTTCAAGGAAATCTTCAAGAGAAACCTACGGTGGTCCTGATGTGCACTTGCACAACGCGACAGCAATTCACCATAACACTACAGCAAATTGCTACAACACGACAGCAATTACGACGGACAAGTTGCGAAAACAACCTGTCCTATGTGCTGTCGGCCTGTAAAAACAATGTTTTTATGCACATATATTAAAAATATAACCGGCCCTCTGGCATTTGCCAGAATAGCCAGATGGCCAACCGCTGCACATTCGTCAAATTCAGAGCCCCATGTCGCAATTTTCCAATTACTGTCATATACCATTGAGGCTTCCGTAATACAGAAGTGAGCGTGGTTTTGGGTTGGAAAAAAGATAGATGGCAAGAACCCACGCAGACATGGGGAAAACATACAAACTCCACACAGAAAGGCCGGGGAAACCTTGCTGTGAGGCCACAGCGCTATCCACTGGACCACCGTGCCGCCCTCACAGCAGGAAACAAGCAATCAAAATACAGTACACAGAGAACTCAGGACAGGATCGTGACAGGCTGGCACACTGATGTGAGACTGCAACACACAAAGTCTTCATCGTGGCTCTGATGCCTGTGTCTCGCTCAGGTCTGTCTTACATTGATTTTACTGAACAATTATTTTTGTGCCTATCTCCCCTGAATGTTAGAATTTCCAGTAGGCCATTTTGTTTACTTGTCAAATAAACTGGCATGAGGCCACTGCTGTTCACAAACTAGAGAAAAGGGACAGCGGGTCAGATTATGTCTGTAATACAGTTTCACAAGACTATGCTGTGTGCACAAATACATTCAGGGTCCTAATTTGGTCAAGGAAGACTAACTGTGTTTCAAATCCATACCACACAGAGTCTAAGAAGGTTCAGAGTATGTAGTATGCTCACACTGGAAAGATGACGAAATGAAGTATACTTAAAGCACACCCTATGCATTAATCTGTCCATTGTTATCCTCACCCCTCTAGCATATTTAAGTCAGTGGGTACATCCCTCTTAATTGCATCCACGTTTCCCTTACTTGTAACTCCTAAAATCCTCTGACACCGGCTACAGCGCGTTACAGCTGCGCCATGGTTTTGATCTGTCCATAGCCTGGTGTCGAAGTCCACTGGAAGCGTCTCAGAAGCGTTTCAGCAGCAGAGCGTGCAGCCTGCCCCACATTATTGACTTGTAATTAATTTTTCATTTACCTTCTTCACAGCTCTCTGTGACCCCGTTTCATTCCGTCAACATCAGGCTGCATTTCCCACAAGGAGCATTTCAGAATCAGAGCATTTTGCCTGACTGATTTTGTTTACATTTTGTTGATTTGGTAATCAGTGTTTGCTTTTTGTGCTTCTACTATGATAAAGTAGGCTACATAGTTAAATGATTTCTTTTTGTGTCTGCCTTAACCTTGTTTATTGTTGTTTTACGATCGGGAGTCTCCACAGGGGTCTCTATGCCATTCTGTGTCTGACTTCCTGCCTGGTTTGATCTGCTCTGTGCTGCTTGACACGGCTTGGAATCAGAGGATTTTAGGTTGGAGTCAGTGGATTTTAGCAGTGAAGTATGGAGTTTGTGACTGCACACATGCACTGTGCTAAAACTAATATAGGCTTACAGTCACCACTGCCAGACTAGCATATTTTGTTTTGTCTGTAGCTGTTACCTGTTTAACAAACACCTGCACATGAATATCACTGCATGAAAAGTGTGATTTTCAAAAATGTGTATCAGTAAATTTAAAGTCACAGAGAAAAATAGATTAAGAGTTGAATTTATTCTTAAACACAACGTTTTTTTCTGCAGCAACATTAGCAAAAATGTGAGTGTATAAGTTTTGTCATTTGTGATTGATAGAATATGATTTTGTACACCTGCAATGAAGAATGTCAAATGGTGTTACTGTTGTGTTTGTGGATGACAGAAAAAGTTCTACAAGTTTGCAACTCTCAAAGTTTTACCCCTGGAGATGATCTGGCTGGTGTTGTGCTCAGGTCTTAGATAGGTATAAACACAATCCATAGCCTATGACATGCTGGCATCTACACATGACAAAATAGTTTTGCTTACAGATATTTGTTTTTAGCCAACATAAAATATAGCAAGCACGAAGGCAGACAAATTAAAGCTATATGGGTCAGAAGTGAATAACAATCTTCTTATACGAAGAAAGGAATACCTTCATCCAGGCAATTACTTTTGGCAAGAGGGGACAAATACTTAACTTAATTGAGAAACAAACAAAACTATGTGATTTTTAAAGGAGTCTGGGGCGAAATCCCCTACCTCAAATGAATCACGCTTTTTTTTGCTCTGGAGGACAGAGATCAGATTTCTATGAGAATAACGAGAATGCATTCAAAATAACGGATACAAATCACATTCTAATACCAGGTGTAAATGGGGAACCATTTCACGTAAACATGATTGGTTTGATTGAATGTTTGTTGTAGTAGTGCCCTAAAAGGGCCATATATTATCCCACTCTTGCCGAACCCACTCATAGGCAAGACGGGGGTAATAAAGAAAGTCATATGCAAGACACTTGAGCGGCTCTGTATACACGTTTTTCAGTCTTTGATACATCATGAGTGATAATCTGGAAGTATCGGTGTCATCATCATCATCATCAAGTGCTGGGCAGTTTTCGTACTCTGTGCAGGGAGCAAAAATTTAAATTAGAAAGCTGACAGTATTGACAATATAAATAACACTATTTTATAGTGTATATTTTTATCCCCACAATACATTTTACCATTACATGCATTACATACTGTGACATAAAATGGCACCGCAGAGAATAAAATGGTAGGTATCATGACACAACGCCACCACACTCATAAGTCGACTGTAAGGACATCTTACTGTACATCAGGGGTTTTCAAAGTGTGAGGCGGGCCTCCCTAGGGGGGCTCCAAACAGTTTCAGGGGAGGCTCAGTGAATGGAAATTAAACAATATTACATTACTTATTGCATTAGTTATCAAAAGGAGATCACATAGAATAGCCTACATGTGTGAGAGTTCAGAGATACAGTAGTTTTGGGGAACAGTCCCCCCCCCCCATCAGAGTCAGAAAATAATAAATGGCTTTGGACAGATCTTTTTAAAACTATTTAGTGTAGTAAAAAGTTATGTCAAACAGCAATATTAGGCTATTTTGTCTCAAATGTGAGTGTCTATGTGATCAGATAATATAATCATAAGTTTTGTCACGTGATGTGGTAACAAGCGAAGCACACTGCGTCTCGCGCTCTTGCAAATGGACCATCCTATCCTTGTGACCATCCTATCCTTGTGTTTGAGGATTATCCCCCAGAAGTTGTGGAGCAGCGAAATAAGTTCAAGGCAGTCATGTCGGAGTTGTACGAGCGAGGGTTCAAGCCGGCCCTGCTGTACCCGGCCAGGCTCTACATCAAGATGGAGTCGGGAGGTAGAAAACACTTTCCCACAGTATCTGAGGCTGAAGCCTTAATTGTATCCTTGCCCTTGTGGAACACCTAGGATCATAGCTTGCCCAAATCCATGCGATGAGGATGGCAGGCTAGTAGGCTATGGCTTTGGACAGATCTTTTTAAAACTATTTAGTGTAGTAAAAAGTTATGTCAAACAGCAATATTAGGCTATTTTGTCTCAAATGTGAGTGTCTATGTGATCAGATAATATAATCATAAGTTTTGTCACGTGATGTGGTAACAAGCGAAGCACACTGCGTCTCGCGCTCTTGCAAATGGTTACTCATCTTTAACCTCACCATTTGTTGCCTAACTTGCTCCTAAACCTATCCAAAAGTGGTGGATTCACAAACTTGCTGATCCGCTGTTGAGCTGCTGCGACCATGCTCGAGGAGGTCTTTGGAGGGGTCCTCGATTCAGCTGTGGAGTGTGAACGGGCGCATAGAGCCCTCGCACTTAAACCTCCACCCAACCAGCGGCCAAGACCGGTCATTATCCGTCTCCTCAGGTTCCAGGTAAAGCACAAGATCATCCGCCATGCCCGGACCATGAGGGGTAGACTGAAATTCCAAGACCATCCTATCCTTGTGTTTGAGGATTATCCCCCAGAAGTTGTGGAGCAGCGAAATAAGTTCAAGGCAGTCATGTCGGAGTTGTACGAGCGAGGGTTCAAGCCGGCCCTGCTGTACCCGGCCAGGCTCTACATCAAGATGGAGTCGGGAGGTAGAAAACACTTTCCCACAGTATCTGAGGCTGAAGCCTTAATTGTATCCTTGCCCTTGTGGAACACCTAGGATCATAGCTTGCCCAAATCCATGCGATGAGGATGGCAGGCCAGTAGGCTATGGCTTCTTAGCATTTGAAGTAGAGTTCCTATTTTGACAGCGGTGATTACGGGCGATAATCTCTTAAAGCCTACTCTCCTTTTTATGGGAGGCTTGAACCATGTTTTCTAGGCAGGAGGGCGGAGAGGTGAGAGACATTTTCCTTTTTTTTCCTTTTCCTTTTTTGCAAGTTGGCGCTGATGACTGCGGCGTGGTACAAATTGCTTACACAGTGGTATTAGAATACTTTTTTGTGTGTGTATTGTGTGTATGTGCGTGTGTTTGGTTGCTCAATGTAATCCCAGAAAACTCCATGATCAATCTGTATTGTTTACATTATGGGTTTTGATGATTTTAATATCGTTGTAGATTTTCAGCACTGCATTGATATGGGTGGCAATACAACTTGTAATGTCTTTGACCCTGATAACTTAAAACCATTAGATGATATATATAATTATTCACTGTTACATTTAAACATTAGAAGCTTAAACAAACATCATTCTGATTCCTTATTATCTAACTCAAGCTGTCATTTTGATGTTATTGGGTGTAGTGAAACATCGCTCAATGATTTTTCAAATGTCGATTTACTTAACCTTGATGGATACAATCTACACATTAAGAATAGACCAAATAGATTAGGTGGAGGGGTCTGTCTTTATGTTAAGAGCAGTCTCCAAGTAAATATCTGTGATTGTTATTTAGAGGATGACCACTGTGAGTCCTTATTTATTGAGATTAACAATTATGACAAAACACTTATTGTTGGCGTCCTCTATTGTCCACCAGACTCTGCTCTTGACACATTTTGCTGTAAACTGGAAGATCTATTATACAAAGTGAATAAGTTAAAAAAAGACTGTATACTGGTTGACTATAACATTGATATGTCTAAGGAAGATGGGGCAAAACATGGCTTCACTCCTCTTTTTTCCCCACCATAAATAGATTTACTAGAATCTAATATCAAACTGTTTTCTAATGAATTACTGGGATGGATGTGTATGTGTATGATTGTATGTGTATGTTTTGTGATGAATGTTCTGGTGTGCTCTGTGTGGTGTTATCAAGTGATAACTGTGTATACTACTTTTTTTTATAAATTATGGACCCCCACGTATAAGCTTTCTTTAGCTTCTTTGGGAGACCCATTCACTATACCCAATTGATTCTGTACCCTTAATTGTATTTTTGCAATGTTTGAAGTGGTATTGTGAATACCACAATAGGGGGGGTTGGGGGCTTTCCCAAGCTTTGTCTGAGGAGAGGCTCGCAGTCTCAGACTTTGAAAACCCCTGCTCTACATGAACAACAGTTTTTTTTCCAAGTCTCACCGTGATCTGTGTTTAAGACCTGTGGTGTGGGCCAGCCGAGACACTCTGTCTGTGTCTCAAACTCCTTCAGCTCAGCAGCAGTGACAGTCTTTCTCCTACCTGTTAAAGAGGTGATTTGAGATGAAAGTGATGATGTTCTACAGTTTATACTAGTTTAACCCACACCACTGCAAGCTCTCACACACATAAAATAGACTATGTATTTACAGTACATGCTATTATAGACCTGTAAAAGAGAGAAACAAAATACAGCGATATCACAATATTAGTTAGCAATGTTGGTCTGTGGGTATGTTGTAATATCTTCACCACATCAACTAGATGATTAGCCAAGAATATTTTTACTGACGTATTTCCCTAAGGATGAATTATTATAACATTATACGTAATAACTTTTCATAGCTATCGTCACAGAAGTCTGTATCATGAATAAATCATGAATTATGAATATTCTGAAGCCAGATAAAGGAAATTAGTCTCTCAGAGTAGTTTTCCTGTGGTATTAGTGTAATTTTAAGCTACATTGTCCTGTATACCACCATTATTGGAAATATTATTACATGTTTTCTTATATCATCCCTCTGTTATCCTTACTGTAGAGCATAAGAGTGTCAATGATGTCAGTGTCCTTTACGACAATGCAGTCAGGACAGCCACTTTGCAGCAGCACATCTGGTTCACCACTTGGGGTATCTGTTGGAAACATTAGAAGATATTAACAGTAAATAAATTACAAAATAATAATATAATAAATATAAACCGCTCTATATATATTGTAGAGTTTCATTTAAATGATTTCAAAGCCTGCATAAAAGCTTAAATGTATTACAGGTTTAGCAGTAGTTTTATCAGTATCTATGCATTGTTTATAATCTCCTTTTTACCTATTTTCTCTAAAAGTCTTAAGTGCAGCAAGTCAAAGCCTTTTGTGTGGATGGTAATAACAAGAGAAAACAATCAAGTGAATGTCAGTAGTAATAGTGATTAAAAGTTTAAATAGTGATTAAAAGAAGCAAATACAAAGAGACACAAATATCAGTGCACACAGCAAATTAAACAAAACTTACTGTTGCTGCTGACACTGAAGATGTTGTTTTTCTCATAGAAATATTGTTCTGTTTCATTTGTACAATATCCATACCTGCCAAATATTTTAAATAATAATAAAGATATAACAACTGAAAGAATTGTACAGGACATGGTGAGGTATAATGCACAAATACCAACTAATTTACCACCATTAGAAGAAGTAAAAAGATTGCTCACATTTTAACCTTATATTAATGTTGCTGTTAACATTGAAAATGGTGTTCTCATATGAATAATTTTCTGATTCTTTAGCACAAAATCCATTCACACACATTTTAACCTTAAAGTTGACATCATAGATGTTTGGTGTGTCCTTAGAGGTAACATCCACTGCAAAACTTGGCCAAAAAACTGAATTCAGTAATGTTGTAACCAAACAGACGTCCGAGGAAATGGCTATGAGGTACCAACCTCCAGACAACTGAAATAACAAAAAGAAATTTTGTTTTATTAATTTTGACTTTAAAAATGTTTGGGAAAAATCTGAAGCCTTTTGTGAAAGGTTTTTATCATAACATATTTTAGGAAAAAGAATCATAGCACAAAGGGGTTCAATAGGTTCAGTTTAGTTTAGTCTAATAAAGCAGTTTGGAAAATATCATGTTAGTTATAAATGTTGAAAGAGACTTACATCTGGTCCTTTGTCTACTGGCTTCAACAGCTTCTCGCAGGCCAGTGACGCAGGCTGGCACACTGAAGTGAGACTCAGCACAACAACAGCAACACACAAAGTCTTCATCATGGCTCAGATGCCTGTGTGTCTCTCTCAGATCTGTCTTATTTTGATCTAACTGACCAATAATTGTTGTGCCTCATCTACCCACCCCTGTCTGAGTGAGTACAAGGCCAACTAAACTGAACATTAACCCTGAATGTTAGCATTTCCAGTAAGAATTTATCTTTCCTTATCAAACAAACTGGCATGAGGCCACTGTTAAGAGTGTGCTGTGCGCGCTAGTACTTTCAGGGTCCAAACTGTTGTGTGGTCTAGCCAGATGACAGGAGACAATAAGACGGCAATAAACAAGAGAGAAAATAAAACAACTGAACAACAAAAAGAAAAAGAAAAGGAAAAAATCAAGCAAAATAGATAAACAACACAGCACATGTGTATGGAGGAATTATTGCCTCAGATTTAAAACTAAAAGTCTAAGTTCAATTCAATTCAATTCAATTTTATTTATATAGCGCCAAATCACAACAACAGTTATCTCACAGCGCTTTTCATAAAAGAGCAGGTCTAGACCGTACTCTATGATGCTATTTACAGAAGCCCAACAGTTCGGGGGCGGGGGAGAGAGAGAGAGAGAGAGACCTACACCTACACTTACACAATATACACACAGAGGTACAGACAGTAAAGGTGATGTTGCTATAGACTAAATGAAAAATGGTACAGATATTTATAGTAGTGTTAATGGTAACAGTCGTAATGTTAATGATTATAATAACAATAGGACTAGTAACAATAGTCGTTGCAGCAGAGGGTGTCGAGCAGGAACACGGGGTCAGCAGGTGACCCGCAGCCACAGATCCAGACTCCACAGCTCCAGAGCCAGAAAACCTGCAGGAAGTGATAGGAGGAGAGAGGAGAGGGACGAGAAAGCACAAGACTACCAGAAAGGGGAGAAGTTGTGTTAGTAACATGCAATAATGGGATGAGGTTGCATACAGAGGGAGAGAAAGAAGAGGAGAGAGGAGCTCAGTGCATCATGGGAAATCCCCCGGCAGTCTAGGCCTATAGCAGCATAACTAAGGGATGGTTCAGGACTCACCTGAGCCAGCCCTAACTATAAGCTTTATCAAAGAGGAAAGTCTTAAGCCTACTCTTAAATGTGGAGATGGTGTCTGCCTCCTGAACCCAAACTGGAACCTGGTTCCACAGGAGAGGAGCTTGATAGCTGAACGCTCTGGCTCCTAGTCTACTTCTGGAGACTCTAGGAACCACAAGTAACCCTGCATTCTGGGAGCGCAGTGCTCTGGTGGGGTAGTAAGGTCCTATGAGCTCTTTAAGATAAGATGGTGCCTGACCATTAAGAGCTTTGTAGGTAAGAAGTAAGTCTCAGCCAACAGACCTAGCATGGTATTATTACTATATACACATATGGATGTAACGTTTAGACCTAATAGACATCCGCTAATCAGAAACAGAGGACACTACCTGCATCACTGCCGATGTCATTTGACCAGGGAGTGAATGGTGATTAATGCGATGTTCTTTCACTTCACTGTGTTTTGAGTGTTCCTGTCTGTCCCTGTGTTTCCCACTCAGCTGCATCTACACACCTGCACTGTGTTGCACTAGCTCTGTATACTGTAATGTGAGGTTAATGTGTTTTTTACGTTCATAACACAGGAACCCCCTTACATATTGTTTAGGGTGTAGCAGTGGGGTTTGTTTTGTTGTTTCTTCATGTAAGGCAAGGCAAGGCAAGGCAAGTTTATTTGTATAGCACATTTCAACAACAAGGTAATTCAAAGTGCTTTACATAAAACATAAAAGCAACAGGGAAATATAAAAAAGTTTTAAAGCAACATAGGGAAATTGAAAAAATACACATTAAAATATAATAAAAGTTACAGTACAGTGTACAATCAGGGTTAAAAGAGTTAAATGGATTGCTCTGTGATACTTTTGCTTCTTGGTATTGTTGTTGTTATGTATTGTTCTCCAGTGTCACAAGCAGGGCATTGTTAAAAAGTAAGCGTTGTTGTTGTTAGCTATGTTAACCTAGCAGCTAAGCTAACTTAAGTTAACTGTTGCCAGTGACATTAAGCTGATGATATATGTGGGTGCAGATTAGTGGGGGAAGGGGATTACTGAAGTAATGTTTACTCATTACCATTGATGGCAACATTGCCAAGCACCATTGCTCTAAAAGTTGCTCCGTGTATGAGGTGGTACATATTGAAGAAAGAAATTGTGTCTCTAAAGCCTGTAACATAACTGTACATGCAGCTGTCGTAAACAGGAGCTACAATACTAATCTGTATAAATATAGAGTTGTGCAAAATGTTTCCTTTAGTAGTATACTGTTAGTGAGGTATGTGAGTAGCCTCAACATGGCCGTTTAGTAAAGATATTCAAAGCCACACTGAATTTTTATTCAGATGTGCAACAATAACTTCTCTGTCAGGGCAAGTTAGGGCATAAAGTTGACACTAGAGGCTTAGTAACTGCTAGTTAGTTAGACCAAAATTGGATGCACCATGATAACATAGGGTATGGACTAAATGGAGTTTCAAAATCAGTCTTCTTCAAGTCTTTGAACATCTGTAGATAGTCTTCAAATGCGAAATGAGCAAGCTTTTAAAATGTAAAATAGAGTCAATTTGAACCTAGACTAATTTTCAACTGCAAATCACCACAATCTTTATTACTGGGTTGGACTATGACTTTACATATTCTTGCGCCACTGGATTAAAATGGAGACTTTGCTCTTTATTTACCCATTGCCATGGTGAATTGTAGTATTACAATTACAAATGTTGCATTATTGCAACAGCCTTTTCACCTGTTTAACCCAAAAATCTATTGATCGACTTCAGACCGTCCAGAACTCAGCTGCCAGGCTTTTAACCAGAACAAAGAAATATGACCACATTACTCCTATTTTAGCTTCATTACACTGGCTCCCAGTATGTTTTAGAACTGACTTTAAAATTCTATTGATTACTTTTACAGCTCTTCATGGCCTCTCGCCTTGTTATATTTCTGACCTTTTAGTCCCATACGCACCAGCACGTACCTTGAGATCCTCGGGCAGAGGTCTATTGTCTGTTCCAGAGTCTCGACTGAAAACTAAAGGGGACAGAGCGTTTGCTGTCAGGGCCCCGAGGCTCTGGAACAGCCTGCCCGAGGAAATCAGGTCGGCTGAGTCAGTGAACTCTTTTAAGTCCCTTCTTAAAACATACTTTTATAGGAGAGCCTTTCCCGGTCTTATTTGACTTTATTTTATCCCTTTTATTTTATTCTATTTTACTAATTTTATATTTATCTTAAACGTGTATTTTAGTCTTTTGTCTCTTGGGTATTATTGTCTTTACACTTGTTAAAGCACTTTGTAACTTGTTTTTGAAAAGTGCTCTACAAATAAAGATTATTATTATTATTATTATTATTATTATTATTATTATTATTATTACATGCTTAACTCAGTGAACACATTCAGGGTTGATTGAACTAGTTTTGATCAGCTGTTCAAGAACTGAAAACTCAGTTTAACATCTCAGGCTCACTCAATTCAGAGCTCCTGCCTCATCATCTGTCCTTTGCTTCCCAGTGTTTTCCTCATTACTAATGTTTTGTTTCTTGTACCTCAGGATCACCGCCTGCTCCTCTGCCTCACGTTTGCCTTCTGCCAGACAGCCAGCCATGCATCCTTATTCACCACTGCCCACGCCATCTGATCTTACATTATTCACAAACTTCCTTCAGATGCCTTCAGATCTCCAACCCTAGTCATCTCTCATTCATCTAATGCTCCTACATCATCACAACACTGTAGAGCTTAAACCTCAAACACCTCTAGTGTAGACTTTATGCCCTAATTTAGGAGAGAAGAAATACAGAGCTGGTGCAACCCAGTGCACGTGTGTAGATGCAGCTGAACAGGGGTCAATAACAAACACAGTGACACACTAAATACAGTGAAGTGAAATAACAAAAGGAGACACTTGGAAAACACTGATGACAATCGCATTAATCACCATTCACTCCCTGGTCAAATGACATCGGCAGTGATGCAGGTAGAGTCCTCCATTTCTGATTAGCGGATGTCTATTAGGCTTAAACGTTACATGCGTATATAGCCCAGGCTTAATAATGAGAAACACTATTTAGTTGTCTGACCAAGTCACAAGGGTTAACGTTTATTTTTCTCATCATCTTTGATGGACTTGTATGTTAGCAAATTAGTGAACTGTATGATGCAGTGAGCTGACCAATCAGCTGCCAGCTAGCCTCCGCTACAGTTAAGCCTCTAGTTTCGCGTCTCTGCACGTTCTTTTGGCGGCTGCACCTGAGGCGTAGGAGGCTGCGCTATCCACCTGGTAAGATGGAAACGACATGGAGTGAATTAAACAAATTCTGTAATCATTATTGCTTATACTGACTATACCCTGTTGTAATATAGAGAGTAAAAGAGAGCTTTGCCCGAATCCACTGTTGTCACGGAGCTAAAGGCAGTGAATTCCGCTAAAATGGTGAGTTGTTTACCTGGCGCTAGGCCTCTGAATTCGCTAGCATCCATGCTAACAGGCCCCAGGCTTTTGAGGACCGTTTGTATTTAACCTAGCCTGCTGAGTTTACTGTGAGTTCGCTAGCATTTATGCTAATTGGTGAAGCAATGCAAAGGTGCTAATTGGGTAAAGCTAATGTGAGCCTGCTGTATTCATATGTTAATAGGGTAATTAGCCATGATAAGCTAGCGGAATACTGTTTAATGCCTGTGAAAAAGAAATTTTACCTTTCCATATTGTTGCTAAATGGTTACTTTGTAAAATAATGATGTTAAAAATTGTGGATTTAATTGTGTTTACTGGAAGTTAAAGAGGTACATTTTTAGTGCATTCTTTCCATTGTTACCGGTGCAGAGGGGGATAAATCAGCACGCTAACGCCTTAATGCCTCTAATTTGAAGTAATACAAGTTGATCAATGTTTACATGCAATGCCTGCAGTTTATTTATGACACTGCTAATGTTACTTAGGGTTCATGAAACTTGAATTAGCGTTTATATGAAGTATGTAATTTTTGATGTACATGTACTTTTGATACTTGAGAGAAATTCATAGTTATGATACTTAAGAAGAAACAAGAAGAGCTGTTGTACAACGAGAGAGTGATTTTGATATTGCATTAAAGGTGTACTGAAATATTTCACTTTATTTTATAGTAGCCTGTAGCAGTCCATTTATTCACTGAATGGTAATTGAGATAAATGATTTGGCCTTGTTTATAGCTCAGGTTTTGGTAAAGAGTTGTAAACATCGTGCAGCTGAGATCCATTCCACGGAGTGATACCGATGCACATGTTCCAGACGTTCTTCCAGAGATTCGTAGATTCCCAGTCCAGGTGGCTGGGTGAGCCAACCGTATTTGTGACTCTGACTTTAGACGGATTGCCAGGATCTTCTTCATCTTTATGGTGGTAGGACAAACACTAACACAAATTTAAAAGGGCCCCAACAGTGAAAAATTAACTTTTGTCAATAAAGGCAAGTGGAACTGAGGACGAAATGAGTTCAAAGAAACCAAAAAGAAAGGGATTTTATTTATGTGCGCACTTCATTATTTTAGTTTGTTATTTTTCATAACTGTTTTTTGTGTGTACCAGCCCTGTGTATTTAATACACTTAATGCAAACTGTCATTCTGGTGTGGTATTGTTTTTATTGACATTCAATTCTCAGGCTCTTAACAATTTAGCGTCTTCTGATTCTGGTCCACATTAATGATAACCTCTAAGACTACTTTAGACTACTACACCTATGTACATTATTACTGCCTCGTAATAAGGGTTACACGTATGTGTATGTAATAATAATAATACCATGCTAGGTCTGCCGGCTGAGACTTTATAGCTGTGCTATTATGTTTTTCAGAGCACACAAACACTGTAAACACACACCTGTCCAGCATGGTGCTGTTCCCCAGAAACACACCTTATTTTTTACAGTTTATACGCACAGCCCGCAGTGGGGTTAATAGCCACATATAAAACCTGCATGTACCGACAGTAACGTAACTCATACATGTCAGCAACAGTTAGCCTAATACAGCTAACTTGCTAATGTTAGCATATCTTACCTGCTGCTTTCTCGTCAGACGGATAGCGCTCCTTTCACTGTTGACTTATTGTGTGAGGCCACATGGACAGAAATGCTGTACGGTTTTAGTTATGGTATTATAAATGATAGTCCTCCCTCCAGCCCTACTCACTCCCCCTGCAGTCCATAAAGTGCCTCTGCGCCTCAGCCGTTCAAAACCCTCCCTGCAGCCTTTGGCCACGCCTCTTCATTTGCATACACAACTCAATCCCCAAATTCCCAATCCTAAATCCTCAAATTCCCAATCCTTAATCCCCAAATTCCCAATCCTAAATCCTCAAATTCCCAATCCTAAATCCCCAAACCCCCAATCCTAAATGGCTAAATGCCCAAACCTAAATACAACATGCCCTATCCTAAATACCAAATTCATTTTTGACTTTGACTTTTAGTTTTTGATTTCGACTTTTAGTTTTCGATTTCGACATTTAGTTTTCAATTAAGACTCTTAGTTTTAGACTTTTAGCTTTAAATCTGACCCAGTAATCCCTCCATAGAAGTGTGAACTAAATGAAATGCATTAAGAGCAAATTGACAAATTGACAACCATGGACAACCTAAATTTGTGTATGTGTGTGTCTATGTGTGTGCTATTGTTATGCCTGACTGCTTGTAAATTAGACAGCAGTAATGAAATTAGAGCAGCTGGACAGTTTTTTGTCTATTGAGTCATGGATGTCATGGATGTCTAGGTGAGTCTTGAGTGCATTTCTTTTGGCCTTCCCCATGACCACTCGTTGAAAACATTGGTCAGTGTAAACTTTAAGGTCCTCCAAACACTCGTCTTCCAGGTCCTCCAAAGCGGTGGGATTGTTGCAATGTTGATATTACTTTAACTTTGGCTTACATTGGCGGATTGTCCGATTAATGAAAACATAACAACAATGACAACATAATTGATAATACCAATCACTATTGCTTTTCTCTATAGGTACAAAAGGACTAACACAGACACATTCTTGGCTTACGGTAGCAGCATGTTGCCTTGTTGCAATACCACTGAGTTTTGCTCCCATGCTTGGATGGCACAACCACGAAACTTTGCCCAACTCAGTCAACTCTACTTTTGTCTGCCAGTTTATATCAGTGATCCCAATGTCATATCTGGTTTACTTCAACTTTTTTCTTTGTACCCTGACACCCCTGTTGGTGATCACTGTTTTGTATGGGTATGTCTTCTGTACTATACGAGGAAACCTTCAACAGAAACCAGGCAATGGTGTCCAAAAACAGTCTCAGAACTACCTAAGAAAAGAGAAATAGCTGGCAGCATCTCTGTCTCTGGTCTTGGCTCTGTTTGCCCTGGCCTGGCTCTCTCTCCACATAATGTGTAATAAACTGCATTGTTTACTTTGGTGGACCGAATGATGTACCAGAAATGGCTTTCTACGTTGGCCTCCTGCTTTCTCACGCTAACTCAGCTGTAAACCCAGTTGTGTATGCTTTCAAAATACAAAAGATCAGGACAGCATACCTGAAGATCTGGAGACGGTATATTGTACATGGAGAAGAACATCAAGGATCTCAGACAAGCCAGACGACAAACAACAATCTCAGTAGTAACATTAACAGTTGTCAAAAATGAGTGAAAGAAGATTTTCCTTGTTTTTGTGCTTCTTTGTTCTTAATGGCTATATGACTTTACAGGCACTTTGTTTAATACAAAGATTGATACAACATTTTCTTGTATTCTTCATCAGTATGTTTTTTTATTAGCTGTCTCATGTTTTTATTAGTTGATTAGGTTTGTTGTTAGCTCTGTCATAGTTGAGCCCAATGCTGTGACGTCAGCCTTTTGCTTGTGTTTTTCCCTTTCCGGCGTCCCCCAGTGTGTTTTGTCGATCTTTCTGTGTCTGGGTGCTGTGGGCGTGGTGATGACTCTTGCTCTCCTCCCTGGCTCCTGATTTCTTGCCAATTATATACATCTGCTTTTCAGGCCACCAGGCTGAGCAGATTCAGTTTATGGAGTTTGATTGTACAACATAAGTTAACAGTCTTATGCTGGGTACACACCTAAAGATAATCGGGCTGATTTCCCCCCTTCCGACAATCCTAGCTATGTCCCGATTATCTTGATGGTTCTACAGATTATCTAATCAGATTCTTCCTTGGTGTTAAGAGTGTCCGAACCTGATCGGAAGACCGTCGGAGGCGCCCCGATCGGGAATCGTAAATAAATATTCAACATGTTGAATATTTACGGTCGAATACGGTTTTCCGATCAGGTTCGGATCGGATCCCCGAGGACAAACGCGCGCACGTTCTGGAGATTATGACGTGAAACGAAACAATATCCAATCAGAAGGCGAGATGATTGAAGACGGCAGCGTAAGAAACGCAGTCATGGCGCAGCACAAGGTGAAATTAATGTGGACAGCAGAGATGGAGGATCAGCTTGTAGATTTGTGGCAACAGCACGAATGTTTGTTCAACGTGTCGTGTAAAACATACCACAACAGACTGAACAAAGAGAAGACTTGGTCAGAAATAGCTTGCGCATTGTCATTACCAGGTAGCTGACCAAATAGCAACAAAGTATATTATGTGTGTGATCTTGGCTGAATGTAGTAAGTGTGCTGTCTTTGTCTCATCATGGCACACCACACACTATAGGAGCAAAACGGTTAAAACTAGGATTTTTTCTCCTCATATTTGTGGTATATCATATTTTGAAAATCTTATAAGATGTAAAAAATCCTTTGGCGTGTACCCAGCATTAGGCGATAATGAGGAAGGCAAGAGTCCAAAACAGGGAAGCAATCAAAATATAAAGCAAACAAATCCAAAAGGCACAGAAGATAATCCAAAATCCAATACTTCACAATAAAATACAGAAACACAGGTAAACTTGACAAGAGACAAGCAGGGACACTTGATGACTCACAAGGCTGGATGGACACAGGTGGAGCAAACAATCAACCAGGACAGGAAACAACTTTTTACTTTGAAAGTAAACAGGAAATAGCAACATCCCCCCCCCCCCCCCCCCCCAGCACAAATGGGTTCAGTTTTGTCATAGATAATCCCGTCTGAGTGAGTACAAAGCCAATTTAACTGAACGTTAACCCTGAATGTTAGCATTTCCAGACAGAAAGATTTTATGTTTACTTATGTGGAAGTGCAACAACTTCCCCAAGTTGGTTGATGGAAAAGGACTTAGAGGAGACGAGATATCAGATTCAAACTGCACCTTTATTGAAACAGATATATCTGGAGACCCTTCCTGCACGCTACCTAAGTCAAGGTCTGACTACTCTTCTGCTAAGCTGTGTATATGTTGAAGAGACATCACCCAGCTGCACATCCCATGTTACCTTATATGGAAGTTGTCAATAGGTGTAGAATATTTCTAGTGTGCCTTAAGGGCTGTCATGTGAGTGACAAGTGTGAAGTGTGTCAGAGTGTATTGGTTTCAGGGCCCGGTTTCCTGTTATTCAGCACAAGCTTCTGTCTTAACTGCTGAGTTACCTAAGATAAGCATGTCACACAATATTGAGTATCATATGAGCAATCATAAGTAATAAGTAAACATATAAGAGAATCATATTATGCAATATCACTGTAGGGTTGTGTTGTATATCCAAACTTATCAAACAAATTGGCATGAAGCCGCTGTTTGCCATCTGTTTTGTAGTTTCATAAGAGTGTGCTGTGTGCACCAATACTTTCAGGGTCCAAATTTGGTCTGGCCAGGTGACAGGAGACAATAAAGAGCAATAAACAGCAGAGAAAATAAAACAACTAAACAACAAAGAGAAAAGGAAAAAGTCAAGTAAAATAAATAAGACAGCACAGCAGTGTGAACTAAATGAAATACATAAAGAGCAAGGCAACTACAAATTGACAACCATGGACAACTTAAATTTGTGTGTGTGTGTGGGCGGATTGTCTGAAATGTTTGTTAAGCTGCTCACCGCCATGTTTGAAATTGCACAAAGTCTCACTATGCCATCTCCCTCACTGTCCCAACATATCTCTGAGGTTTCTCCAGAGTTGAAACGCCTTTGCCCTTGTCTGGTCATGAAACTTTCTTTCTGTTTATAGGGGAATTATCACACGTCACATCGATTGCTGCATCGTCAGCAGCGGTCAGCTTCTGACCGGCAACCACCTTGATTAATAGGATTATAAATGGGAATATATTTGCCCTGTGGGAGGCAGCAATGTGTTAGTGTCAGGGATTTTTTTGCTCAGAACCCAGATGCAGACAAGAACACAGCTCGGAAGGATATTCACACAGTTGACTGAACACAAGATATGGTTCGATAGGCTCAATGCTTGGGGGTAAGGTTCTTCCGGTGTGGCAGGACTGGTAAGTGCGAGGCCAGGCAAGGCAGGTAACAGGGCTGACTGAGATGTAAGACTACGGTGGGAAAAGTCTCCAGCCAGGTGTTCTTCGTGACTGGGCGACACGAGAGCAGAGCAGGGTCTCCAAAGGCAAAACCAGACTTAATAATCCGGCGGTGAACTGAGGAGAAGGCAGGGTATAAAAGCCAGTCCTGATGATGACAGGAGACAGGTGTCTGAGCAGCACATTGCCTGCAGCTGGGGAGAACAGCCCAGTGGTGCAGCCCACAACTCCGCCCTGAGGAAGAGGGAGAAAAGGACAGGCGAGAGGGAGAAGGAGAGAGACAGAGACCAGACAAAACCAAAACCCACCAAGCACCTCTCACACGCTCAAAAAGGGACAAAATAAACTCAAACACAAACACACAACACACCAACCGTCACCTCCCTGCCTGCGGCAGTGTGACAGCTAGAAAGGTATCCACACTGCCTGGAATTAGAAGACGAAGAAGATTATGTAGTTAGAAGTAAAAGTAACTTTAGTAGTAGTAATCTAGTAGTAGTAACGTAGTAGTCGTAAGGAACTGAAAAACAAACCCAGGAAAAATGTTGTGTTGTGCAGTGGGTTGCCAGAATCAAAAATCTGTAAACAAAGGTCTGAAGTTTTACCGAATACCATCAACTCACACTCCTTTTAACGCCAACCGCAGACATCTTGGGTTACAAGCCCTCAGAACCGACTGGAACGAGAACCTAATTAAAAACGCTCGACTCTGCAGTTCTCCCTTCATATCAGGTAAGTTGCGCTAAATCACCCACATCACTCGGTTTAGCTTACAACAAAAAACTCTGATGTATTAAGTTGTACACTTATCTAATAGTAGAATGCAGAACAATATACAAGTCTGAGACGAGCTAGCTAAAATTAGTAGCTAACTTAAAGTTACCTTGGTTCAGTTGCATTATGTTGTCTTGCTAGTTGGTTAACCTGACGTTTAGCTAGTCTAGTAAGTTTACCTAGTATTTGGCTAATAACGCGGTTATAGCGAACTCAGACTAAATTTAACTGTAACACTAACAGACCTAACTTTTTTTGTACAGGAGAGGTATCCATGGACTTCAGTAGTCCTGACTTTGTCCCGTCTGTTTTTTCCTACTCAACCAAGTGTGAAATAAGCAAAGGCGAGGCAAAACTTGAGAGGTAAATATTGTCACTTTCACCTTATTTAGTTGCTCACTGGGATCACATCATTACTCGAGTCGCCATACATTCTCTGCATGCATCGAAGAGCAGGGAATGTATGGCGAGTAATTTAATGTCACATTATTTTTGTCAAGAGGATTTCTTGGACCAGATTGTTTCTGTTATGTCTGCATTGTCTTATAAAGTCCTTTGAGGATGTGATTTACACTTGACTTAATTTGGGAATTGATTGCCTCTGTGATCTACCAAGCAACTAAACTATTTTGGACTGACTGCTTGCTCTCTTCTCTGAGTATCAGATTTAAGAGGAAAAGAATAAGAGAGAAAACCACCCACAGACCACCAGATGATGTACACCTGTCCACAGAAGTTACTGATGAGGTTGCATCAGAATCCTCAGTCGCTTGCCTGTCCTCAGATGACTGCAGAATGGAGCCTGGTGCTGGTCCTTGCACTGGTAAGAACTTCTAACATTTTAACTAATATAGGGCAGTCACTATTAGGATGAATCAGGTCACCCTGTTTGTACATATTTTCAATACAGCATAACTATGTTGTGAATAAAGTTGAAAAGTATTCTGTTTAGCACATGCTGTCTCCTTTCTGAAAACATACATCAAATAATAGAGAAAATCTAAGTTAAAACAAGTTACAATGCATCTTTTAGAAGTCCACGACTTCTACTACTCTGTATTTCAAAAGCCACGGTCCACTGAAACACAAGTACAGACAACTTTCTGCAGAGTGTGTAAACCTGCGTTCAGAGATCAACAAACTGAAATTGGAGAATGAGCAGCTAAAGGAAACACTCAATTTTCCTTTAGCTCTATTAACAGCAAAGCGGTGCATGTGTCCCCACGCTAGCTGCCCGATTCCTGGCTTTCTGCTAGGAAATCTTCCGCGGGTTCTCCGTGTCTGAATGAAGAAAAACACTCCAGTGTTGACCGTCCTCGGTCTGGCAATTAGGCTGTTCTTTTTGGATGTCCTTTGTTACTGCTGGTGGGCCCACGTGGTTGGAAGCTTAAAAAGAACTTGGTCGTTCTTGAATTAAAATTGTGTAAGTTAACAGAATGATAACTTTTAACAAACAAAATAAAATAAAATAAAAAAGCAAGTAAGTTGCTGGGAACGAGGGAAAAGTCGAGGTCGCGGCGCTTCGTGTGTGTGGCATGAAACGAACAAAGAGCCTTCGCTGCGCCGGGTCGAACTTCTTAGGGTGTTGCTGGGAGACGGGAGCAAGCTGGGCGCATGCTAAGTGCAGTTGAAGAGAACAAAAGAAGAGAGAGGGCAAGAGAGCGTGTGTCGCTGCTTTTGTTTGTTGGGGCGTGGTTCCCAGAGGGCAGTCCTTTGTTCCCCTGAGGGCTTGTTTCCGGTTTCCTGAGAAACTGTCTATTCTTTAAACTTTTAATATGTCTATTCAAAAATCTATTTGCGCATATTGTAATCAAATATCTTCCCACAATCAAACCTTAATTGTCAAACGGGTATACCGTTCTTAGTTTTAAGCATTTGATAAAAAGGAAAACAATTGTCAGTAGTTCAACCTTAAGGTTAGCATTTCCTAGGAATCACATCTGATGAGAGGAACGTAACTAGCTTTCTGGACAATATTGGTTGTTACACATTCTTACTTAGAGAGTATAAGCAAATTACACGAATGGCATCAGATTATGGACAGGTAAATACAGAGTGACATTTATACATTAAACGGCATTTCAGAACGATGGCATGTAATACTTATTTTGTCCATTTTGTCCATGGAGCTCTGGTTCCATGAGGATAGCTTTGATTAATCCTAAAACAACCCTTTGCTCAAGATCTGGGGAATTTAGTGATTTAACATTAAATTCAAGATGGAAATTTAATCGAGTATAGGATGACATTTCTTTATCATATCCTTTCTAAAAGAAGTGTCAAAAAGTGTTGAGAACAAAGCATTGGTTACAACATAAAATGAGGCAATGTCAGGTGACCTTGCTGAAAATTAAAACACTGCAAAATTATTATTTTATTATATATTATATATATTACTTATTTAGATTCTTTTCAACAACTATATCAACAACAACATGGTAACATAACTACTCAAATGGAGTGGAGAGACCTAGTTAAGTAACTTATTTAATTAAATAAGGTAATGCTTTGAGTTTAGAGGAGACAGTACTCTTTGTTTACACAAAGAGTTCAGGTCTGTCCTCTGGTGTCCTGGAGTTTCTCACGTCTGGGCGTGAAGAGGAGAATATCCTTTGATGTGAGGTAATTAACAAAGAGGGAGGTCAGTTGCAATGATTACATGTGGGCGGGGGGCAGTTTAGGGTTTCCTCCCCTCTTTCCAAAAGAGTTCTGATAGGCTGTTTGTAATCTCTGGTTAGTGTTTCTTTGTCATTTTAACAGTCAGGCACCGAGCCTTATCTGGCTGCGGCACCAGAGGTGGCAAGTTTTATGATCGAACTGCCCAGAAACAGCACTTAGGGAAAACAAACCTTTCACCTGCTCCTTTGGTTGCTTCAGCTGTCCGTAGAGGGTTGATATCTCAAACCCCCTCCTTTTCTTTCTCAGAGAGAGAGAGAGAAGGAAATTTGAGTCTCCAAATTATTTGATATAAAATGCACAAATCCACACAGCAAACAGCAATAATATTAGAAATTATGATTATACATTGCAAATTTAAGTAATAGAGTCAAAATAAATACTTATATACATCTGTACATATATATATATAATATATTATTATATACATAATATAATAATGTTATATTAACAATAACAAAAATGTAATGTAAATTTAAAAAAACAAAACAAACATATTAACATACTCCAAATGAAAATGTCAGAGAAAGCAGTATTATCAAAACCAAAATATGATATAGTGATGTAGACAGCCTTGGCAAGTAAATAAAAAGGGCAGACACAAACACATAAATAAAATAGAATAACAATAAATAAGTACAGATAGACAGATTTTTCTAATTATATTATTATATTTATTTATTTATAATAATAATTATTGCTGTACATTTGTTATTAGCTCGTGCTTTGATGTAAAATACTAGTGTGTATTAAATAATTTCCTTCTATGTACATTTCATTCTGACTCATTAATTTTTGCACTATTCACAGTACCACTCCACAACCTTTCTTCTTACTCTGGCGCATGTGTAGTGGAAATGGTTCCTGTTTAGGTGTAGTGCTTTGTGTAAGCATAACTGTGTGTCCTCACTGCTCCCCGTCAGACCATCACGGTATTTGTATGGACACTTAATCTCAACAGCTGCTTTCCCACAGCAGGTACAGTGTGCCATTCCATCCTGCGATGCCCCAAGATGTGGTTTGTCAGGCCTCACAACAAGACACAGAAAACAGAGTTACACATTATTTCTGTGTATTGTCTCCTGGCTGTGTCCTCTATATCTCTTCCCCAAAGTACTGCTGGGACATGGGATAAGTCCTGATTGCTGTAGTGCATAACCTGTCGTACAAGGTTTGTTTTTGCCTTTTTGGTTTTTACAGTGCATACATGACGTAAGGTTGTGCTTGTTATCCTGCCAGTTCTGTGTGTGTGCCAGGCCTGAGAGTGGGACTGATTTCTAGTCGTAAGCTCAAGGTTTACACACTGCTCATTAGTTAATTCTCGCCCCAGTTTTGCAAAGGTATCTTCACTTCTCTCTTGCATTTTATTTGGGCAGAGGCATCTCAGAGTGGCAGCATACAGAGCTAACAGTGGCTCTGGCAGGTCTCCGGTCTCTGTGATTTGGATGCAGAATCAGTGTCACTGAAGTCCATGCTAGTGAGCACAGCTGCGTTAGGTGCCAAGACTTTCAGATCTGATATGTCTTCATCTGTCAGCTCTAAATACACAATAAAATATATGTTAGATATCTTATTTTAATTCAAATTGCAACCACAGCTGGTTACATCTGTTATAATAGTACCTTGGCACTCGTTATAACTTTTTTATATGAATGATAGTAATGGCTTAATAAAAAGTCATAAATATAAGGTTATAAATATAATTTATACCTGCTGCTTGTTATATGTACATGGCCTGATCTTGTCTAAATTCAGATTGCGTCTACCTTTGACATTGCTCTTTCTTACGCTTTGCTCTGGCTGGCTGCAGTTGGGTGTCTGACCTCTTAGGCTTTCTGAAGCTGATCTCACTCAGTCTACCTGGCTTCACCTCTCTCTTGGATGTGTGGAGCCATATTTGTCCCTGAAGTACAACAATTCTCCATCTTTCCCATCCTGACCCACAGCTCAACTTTAAACATAAGGGCAGCTGCATGGCTGCAGCATCACCCTAACCTGCACAACATTTATTCCTAGCTATCTAATGAATGAAACACATTGGTGTAAGTGGTGCTTTAGGCTATCCATGTCAATAACAACAGCTGGATGATTTCAGAAAATAAGCAGTGAAATTGAGTTGGATTATCTTCCTGACAAATACTGGATTGGATAAATAATAATAAAATGTAATACATTTACATTACATTTAGCTGACACCTTTATCCAAAGTGACGTACAATTGCTATATATGTCAGAGGTCGCACGCCTCTGGAGAAACTAGGGGTTAAGTGTCTTGCTCAGGGACACATTGGTGGATGTGTCACAGTGGGGAGTTGAACCCAGGTCTCCCACACCAAAGGCATGCATCTTATCCACCACTCCATAACCAATATAATTTCATAAATGTCGTATGTTACATACCCAGCCATACTGGTGCAGTCTGCAGTCAGAATACAGTTGTTGGTCTTGTTGACGATAACCCAGGCCTTGTACTACTCCGTCTTCTTACCCTGTCTTTGGCTAGGCAGAACCTCTGTCTTACCTCGTAAGGAAGGCTTTTTCCCCCCCTTCTCTTATCTAGGGCCTGTGTTAAATTTTTTCTCATAATACTATCTTCCTCCACACTTGAGGCAGAGACACGAAGGAAATCCTCCCCGTCGCTTTCCTCTTCAAATAGTTCAAGGATCCGTCGACGTTCTCTGTCCATTTCCTCGGCTGTGCGATAGCATGGTTTGAGTTGGGCCACGTTAACAACACTTAAGTCTTCTCCAGTATTCTCTAGGACCACCTCATAGTTTAAGAGGCCAGTTTTCCTGGTAACACGATAAGGACCTCTCCACCGTGGTGCCAGTTTGACTTATCAGCCTTGGAGTAAGGGTGAGTACCGAGCCAGACACGATCTTTGTCTGAAAAATCACAGTTTCTCCTCCCTTTGACATAGTTTTTCTTTTGCCTTTGTTTTGCTTTTTCCAGGTTGCCACTTACAAGTTTCTTGAACTCTGCTATCTGGTTAGCAGTAGCATATGCAGGTGTATCAGGATCACAAAGCTGTGGCTTGAGCTCAGCATCCAAGGGGCCTTTCAGAAGAAGCATGTGTCCTGTGGACACATGCACTGCTGAGTTCAATGCAAAACAGAATTCAGGTAAGTATTTCTCCCAGCTCTTGTGGTTTTCCTCCACATATGAATTTTTTAGTTCCTGCCGGTGGTGAAGTTGATCCTCCGCAATTTTCTGAAGGTGTTGCTGAATCCCATAGCCAGAAAAGGTTTCCTCTAAGGCAGAAATTTCAGGCCGAGGTCCTCCATGACTATTTCAACGGCGTTAAGGGATGAGCAAGTTCAGAAAACACAGTGAGATCCATCTCCAACAGAGAGTATGTTGTAGGAGGTAACTCCCGGGCCGGCACAACATTGACATTTGGCAGTAGTGACTACTGATCCTCCTTCCATTTCACACCACAAGGACTCTGAGTTAGCAGCCATTTTGTATGTGTCAGTTTTGTTTGTACCAAAAAATAAATATAAGTTTTATCTTCACAATAGGTGTGCGTTTTTATTTTTTGAGATATTTTGTCATTCAATTATACTTTTCCAAGTCCCATCTGGGGTGCCACTTTTTTATCTGAGTTGCACAGTTACACCCTCCCACTGAATGACCATAAAACAAAGAAACACCACAAACTCAAAAGCTTATCACAAAACAAAATATTGGTGTATTTAAAGATTTCACACAAAAACACAATCACAAAGTAAAACACAATCCAACTGTAAATTCCACTTCGGGTTTTCTGCACACTTAAACCAAACAATCTCAAAAACACAAATCAGTTGCAATTCATTTCAAAAACACAAAGATAAATTGAGTCCAGTGCCAAAGCAAAAAAAGATAAATAAAGCTGGTTCAGTTTCTCAGGCACAAACAAAACGTCATAGTACAGAAAAACGAGTCCAGTCAGTCAGTCCAGTCAGGTTTTTGCTGCTGGGTTGTGAATGTTTTGTCTGTTTCCGCAAATAACCTTGCAAGGCGAATGTAGAATGATGATCCGACGGTGAAGTGAAGTGTACAGGATGGGCGAATGGTTGAAAAGTCACAGATGAAAAACGTTACCCAAGAGATTTACTACCTTACTTTGATTTTCTTCTTTCTGACAAAATAAGAGCATTTTGCTCCGGCCACTTCTGTCACTGCTCCTCTCCCAGTCTCTCCTTCCGACACACTGATATTTACCGGGAGGAGGTTAATTGTCGCACTATCCGGCAATGAATCAGTGTGGCTCATTTATAAAATGGGCATTTCTGGGGTTTTCCACAGTGGTGAAACCTGGTGATTTGTACGATTTCAACTTCTCCTGGGTATAAACGCTTGGAGTGTCAATCAGGTAATTATATATTTCTGGCCATTGAATGCTTGGCCATTTTGTTTCGTCGTTTAACCATTGACAAGGCGCTATGGAAAACGGATCTGTAAGACGTATCCCACTCACTAACATAAGTTTAGTTGAATAACTTCTTGAAGTTGAATAAATTCTTATCGCTGGGTGACAAGCTGTTGTAGTATGCGGAGAACATTTTAAATATGTACCATCTATTCAATATAAAATGTAATGTTTTGATATCTAACTACTATGTATAACTTATCGTATTATTTTTGCTAGCTAACTCCTCTCTCTCTCGTCCGGGTTTTCTGCAACCATGTTGTGCGCGCATCCCTAATGTTTACAAACATATAATTGGCGTATACTCTTCAGACCTTTTCCTATTTGGCTGTTTCTTTGCCATCTCTCATTCTTCACGGTGCCTGGAATCAAGCATGTTTGAATGTGCTGGTGTACAGAACTCTCTCCTGTCCACGAACACTTAATGCCACCTGTTGCTGATTGGCTGGAACCATGTTGTTGGGATGGTCTGCACCCCTTTCTTTCATTTCCATTTACAGAGCCAGGGCTGTGTAGGAAACCCAGATTTTTTTTCATAGTACACACCCAAAACTATGAGCTAGCGAACCGTGTGGAAATATTCAATGAATTTAACAAAAAAAGTGACAGGAGCATCTACAGCTTGATCAGACAGAGGCTGAAATGAAAAATCAGTATAAGAAAAAAAATTTTTGAATCATGCAAAGCTGCCATACAGGAGTCACAGAACTACAATATAGGACTGGAAAAGCAGTATAATAGGTCTCCTTTAACATCTGCAGGCTGAGGATGTTTTATGAGCCTTAATGTGCTAAATTCTTTCCAATACTGCAATTTTTAAGGATTTTAATCCATTCTTCCTCTCCACATTCAGTGCTCATTATTACTACTATTTATCATTACACTTCTGTCGTATACTGTAAATACTGTACATTTTACTCTTTTTTAAATATTTTTTATTTGTATATTTATTTTTAGATTTGTATCTTCCTTATATTCTACTTACAAACGCCCTGTGATTTCTGTTCCTTTAATGCCTTGATGTGCAAATCAAGCAACTGTTACACAAGAATTTCCCATCGAGGATCAATAAAGTATTTCTGAACCTGACTGGTAGATCTTTCATATGTTTTGATCTGTAAATTGAACAAAATCTGTTCCTTGTAACATTTAACTCATCTTTGGGAGACTAAAGAACCAGAGTTAACAGTGAAGCCAGCTGGTTAAATCTCCAATACTGTTTGTGTTTCCAACCATTACACTGACAGAATTTCCTCGGTTTTATTGACAAAGTGGAAGCTAAACCCTTGATATTCTTGAATGGGATTAGAACCTCTCCTGAACAGCTGGACTACAACCATTTTGGAGGTCTTCTTGTTGAATTAAAGAACTAGCTCCATGGACAGAACTTGCATTGGTAAAGTAGCCACAGTAAGCAGAAATGCACTTGAATGCCAAAATGTGAACCAGAATTTGTAATGCGCCGCCTGACCTGCATAAACACTTCAGCTGCACCAATCCAGCCACTTTCAGCACATGTGGGTCTGTGTGGGGGTAAGGATGTGGCTTTGTGGCTTCCTCTGTTTTTTAGTGACTATTATGAAACCCTTGCAACAACCTGATTAGATTTTTTTTTTTATCAGCAGATATCGTATGCATATACTTTTTTAAAACTTGCTAAAAGGCTGAGGACTTCCGCAATAGTTTCATAAGGGCTCAGCACATTCAGGCTCAGGCTCACATTCAGACACAATGGATGTAGGGGTTGTGATCTACACGTTGTTGGAGGTGCTCATTGCTGTTAGCTGCTGTCTTGGTAATATGTTGGTTATTTTGGCACTGTGGACCAGTAAAAGCATTCAACAACCTACCTTCTGCCTTATTGTCTGTCTGGCTGTGGCTGACTTGATGGTTGGCTGTGTGGCCATACCGTTGGCTGTGCTGGTGGACGGACGAGTCAAGACTTCATTCTATGGCTGTCTCTTCATCAGCTGTGTGGTCATCCTGTTGACCCTGGTCTCAGTTTTGTCTCTTGCTGCTATTGCGGTGGACCGATTCTTCCGGGTCTATATCCCTCTCAGGTAACGTTTTTTCTGGAAGATTTATTGTGCAGAGAAAAATTAAATAGTGCTTCTAATCAAAACTTTGAATCAAAAGTTTTGTATTTTTATATTATTTTATCTTAACTCAACTCTGACCCTTTTGTATGTATAGCAACATAATTGATGATGCCAATCATTATTGCTTTTCTCTATAGGTACAAAAGGACTGTAACACAGACACATTCTTGGCTTGCGGTAGCAGCATGTTGCCTTGTTGCAATACCACTGAGTTTTGCTCCCATGCTTGGATGGCACAACCACGAAACTTTGCCCAACTCAGTCAACTCTACTTTTGTCTGCCAGTTTATATCAGTGATCCCAATGTCATATCTGGTTTACTTCAACTTTTTTCTTTGTACCCTGACACCCCTGTTGGTGATGACTGTTTTGTATGGGTATGTCTTCTGTACTATACGAGGAAACCTTCAACAGAAACCAGGTAATGGTGTCCAAAAACAGTCTCAGAACTACCTAAGGAAAGAGAAACAGCTGGCAGCATCTTTGTCTCTGGTCTTGGCTCTGTTTGCCCTGGCCTGGCTCCCTCTCCACATAATGAACTGCATTGTTTACTTTGGTGGACCGAATGATGTACCAGAAATAGCCTTCTACGTTGGCATCCTGCTTTCTCACGCTAACTCAGCTGTAAACCCAGTTGTGTATGCTTTCAAAATACAAAAGATCAGGACAGCATACCTGAAGATCTGGAGACGGTATATTGTACATGGAGAAGAACATCAAGGATCTCAGATAAGCCAGACGACAAACAACAATCTCAGTAGTAACATTAACAGTTGTCAAAAATGAGTGAAAGAAGATTTTCCTTGTTTTTGTGCTTCTTTGTTCTTAATGGCTATATGACTATACAGGCACTTTGTTTAATTATAAGATTGATACAACATTTTCTTGAACTCATCAGGATGTTTTTTAATTAGCTGTCTCATATTTTTATTATTAATAGAAATTCAGTTGAAGGTCATATTTTTTAATGTAGTTAGATAGATATGCTATCAAATACTTATTACTTATACTTTATTTTTATAGGTTTGTTGTTAGCTCTGTCATAGTTGAGCCCAATGCTCAGTTTTAAAATGTCCTTTTAGCTATATTCAGTTTTGCATTTTTTCTTCTGTACATATATTTTTGCGAGAATTTAGTTCGGTCTACTATTGATAGGTGTGTATACAGTTTCCACGGCTGTCAGTGTTTAAGCTAAGCTGAGCTAAATACTCTCTGTATACTTTACTATCTCTATATTGGATGCACAAGATGATCAATATTTGTCTCACAGTAAAAAAAACAAGTGGACTGAAATTTGTTCTATTAAAGACGTAGTTTCAAGGCTATCTGTCACAGTAACAGCTGTGACGTCAGCCTTTTGCTTGTGTTTTCCCTTTCCGGTGTCCCCCTGTGTGTTTTGTCGATCTGTGTCTGGGTGCTGTGGGTGTGGTGATAACTCTTGCTCTCCTCCCTGGCTCCTGGTTACTTGCCAATTATATACATCTGCTTTTCAGGCCACCAGGCTGAGCAGATTCAGTTTATGGAGTTTAATAAGAACAACATAAGTTAACAGTATTAGGTGGTAATGAGGAAGGCAAGAGTCCAAAACAGGGAAGCAATCAAAATACAAAGCAAACAAATCCAAAAGGCACAGAACATAATCCAAAATTCAATACTTCCCAACAAAATCCAGAAACACAGCTAAACATGACAGGAGACAAGCAGGGACACTTGATGACTCACAAGGCTGGATGGACACAGGTGGAGCAAACAATCAACCAGGACAGGAAACGAAGTTATACAAGACACACAAGGAAGGATACTTTGAAAGTAAACAGGAAATAACAACACTCAAGTCTGAGTCTCGTCGGTCCCAAATCTGCCAAACCTAACACTACCAGGAAGTGAGAAATTCTGTAACAAATATCTGACAGACAAAATTAGTTTTTAATAGTACAGTATAGTTTGATTTATTTACACATGTTCACAATGAGGTCTGTCAGAATCTCTGCAACATTGTTTCTGGAAAGATAAGTTGCTTTTTGTTTCTAACAAATTTTCTGACGTGATTGCTGCAGAAATCTCAGATGGATATCGCAGGGCAAATTAAACCAAAACTATCTGCATGGCTATAATGAAGTAACAACTGAAATAATAAAAATAAGGGAATTTGTCATTTGTCAATAATTACAACATTTCATGTAAAAAAACCCCCAACACAAATGGGTTCAGTTTTGTTTTAGTTTATCACAGATAATAAATAATCCCCTGTCTGAGTGAGTACAAAGCCAATTTAACTGAACGTTAACCCTGAATGTTAGCATTTCCAGTAAGATTGTATGTTTACTTATCAAACAAACTGGTATGAGGCCGCTGTTTCCTGTCTGTTTTGCAGTTTCATAAGAGTGTGCTGAGTGCATCAATACTTTCAGGGTCCAAATTTTGTCTGGCCAGATGACAGGGGACAATAAAGAGCAATAAACAGCAGAGAAAATAAAACAACTAAACAACATAGAGAAAAGGAAAAAGTCAAGCAAAATAAATAAAAAAACAAAGCACAGCAGTGTGAACTAAATGAAATCCATAAAGAGCAAGGCAACTACAAATTGACAACCATGGACAACTTCATTTTCACACATTTGTGTGTGTGTGTGGGCGGATTGTCTGAAATGTTTGAATGTTTGTTAAACTGCTTGCCTCCATGTTTGAAATTGCACAAAGTCTCCTGAGATTATATAAAGTCTCACCATGCCATCTCCCTCTCACTGTCCCAAACTGTCTGAGGTTTCTGCAGCGTTGAAATGCCTGGTCATAAAACTTTCTACTCTGTGTATACTCTTCAGACCTTTTCCTATTTGGCTGTTTCTCTGCCATCTCTCATTCTTCATGGTGCCTGGAATCAAGCATGTTTGAATGTGCCGGTGTGTAGAACACTGTGCATGAACACTAACGCCACCTGTTGCTGAATGGCTGGAACAATGATGTGGGGAATATCTGCACCCCTTTCTATGATTTTCATTTACAGATCCAGGGCTGTGTAGGAAACCCACTTTTTCAGTACACCCACAAAACGAAGAGCAAGCGATCCATGAGGAAATATTCGCTGAATTTAACAAAAAGTGCACTGGATTACAATCACTTGTTTACCTTCTGTAGAAGTCATGTTTTATAACCATGACAGCTTTTTCACAATTGAAGGAGGAGGGCTTTCAGTGATGGTAAGAGAATATGAGTGCAATTCAGGGGGACCTGAAAGTGAAGGTCGGGGGGGCTAAGGTGAATAAAGGGGGGAGCTGGAGCGGAAACTCCAGCAGAAAAAAATTAAAGAGGTCTAGAGTGGCATGAAGAACATCACTGGCATCAGACCCACTGGAAGTAGTGTAACAAACTTAATCTGTTCTCTTTAACAGATTTGAGACAATGGCTCCTGCTTAACCAGCCCTTACTGGGAGTTGAGGATGCCATCATTTTCCTGCTTAATTGCTTCTATGGGTTGTATTTTTTGACTTCTTCAGTGCTTTCAACACCATCCGGCTAGCCCTGCTGGGTGTCAGGCTGACATGATGCAGGAGTATGCCCCCCACATGTTCTGGATTGTTGACTATCTGACATGCAGACCACAGTACCAGCACCTCAACATATTACTATTTGGCTTACTGGGACTTTTTCTTGCCTACTGGCACTTCTCACAAGCTGCCGGTACTCTCCTCTGCCCTCTACATATCAGGTTCTCTGGGTGCCATGTGACGCTCACCTGTTCCTGAGAAGAGAAGCTCGGGTGCCTGTCATGCAGCCGTGTCCAGAAAGTAGTGATGTGTGATACCACTTAATTCCTATCCGATCCAATACCCAGTAATACCCAGGCTGGTAGAACCGATACTAATACTTTTTACATATTGTATTTCTAGTTTAATGTGACCTCCCCCTTCCCGTTTCTGTATTTATGAGAAATAAGGAGTAGACTGTAGCCTTACCACTTCAAAATAATAGCTGCATAATGACAAGACATCAAACTACTCTCATATTCTTTAATTATAATATCAATATCATGCTCAGAAATGCCGCTTCGTAACATCATCCTATTATTGTGACAGACTTAATCTCAGATGTTTAGCAAAGTTTGCAGTGTTGCCAAAGTATTTCACTGTATTTGCACACACATCACACAGAGCAACATTATTACCCTCACAGCTAAAATACAGCCAGACGTCGGCCAGAGTCAGTATTCAATCGTGGGAAATGTAAAGGGCTTGCAGCGGCTCACTTCAAAGAAGCTCCTCACAGAGCCATAGCGCAAGCATGACTTTGTCAGGCGGAAGGAAAAATAGTTCCTATCAACTGAGTATAATTAGACCATCCTGGTGTCAGTAAGATACTTGGACATCTTGGATAAAACACACACTCACTCCAAATGACTGTTTAGATCCTTTTATATGAGTATCGATCCTAGAGCAGGAAACGTTGGTATCAGAAATATCGATACTTTAGGATCGATCCGCACATCTCTACCAGAAAGTTGCTTGTCAATGTCACCTTTTGTGAACTGACCAATCACAGCCTGGATGGGGCGCGACATTTAAAAATATTGACAGATTGGTGTCATTTACACTGGGGATGCTGGGTACATGTCAGAATTAGAGTGTCTCCGTCACTTTGTGAAAACTTAAGTAAAAACAACAAGCTGCTGATTACTGCATTATACTCTATTTGTCACGCTCTGCCGGTCGGCCATTCTTTGTGTTGCACTTTTGAGTTTAGTATCTGCCTTATTGTATGTTGGGTTTTAGGGGTCTGTCTTGTCTGTCGTCTAGTGTTTGGTAACCCTTGTCATGTCTGTTACCCCAGTTATCCCTCTGCATGTCTGTCTCTGTTTTCCCCTGCTCCCTTTCTCCCTGCCTGTGCCTCGTTAGCATCATGTCTTTCACCTGTGTTGCTCCCGCCCTGCTCGTTAGTCCCTGTGTATATATACCTGGTGTTTCTGTCTTGTCTTTGTTGGGTCATTGTATGCTGTCTTCTGGAGTTGCCTGCTTGTTGCCTGCTTGTTGCCTGCTTGTTGCCTGCTTGTTGCCTGCTTGTTGCCTGCTTGTTGCCTGCTTGTTGCCTGCTTGTTGCCTGCTTGTTGCCTGCTTGTTGCCTGCTTGTTGCCTGCTTGTTGCCTGCTTGTTGCGTCTCCCTGTTACCCTGCTCCCTTTGGATCTCTGTTTGGACTACCTTAGTTTTTGGACTCTGTATTCAGCCACTCACCTGTAAGTGTGCTTGCTTTTGGTTTGTTCATTAAAACCCTCTGTGCTATACCTCCTCCTGCTTTAGGTCCTCCAACCTGCCTCACCCACACCAAACTGTGACACCATTATATTTTATATTTCCAATTGTCACCTACAAACTTAATTCTATTTCCCATCATATAAAGACATTTCCACCATAAATTGGTGCAGAAAATGTTTCCATGATGCAGGAAATTAAGTGTTAGGTGCTCAAAGTCTTCTGGGGGAGGACCCCCCAGCCTGATATATTACAGCATAGAATATTTATATAAAGTACTGTTATCATCTTGTTCTTGTGACCCAAGTGTTCTGTCACACCCCTAATCTGAGCTCTAATTATTTATCTTTGCCAATACTGTTAGTTAGTAGGCTATATTACAGACCCCCACGAAGTTCAGATCATAACTCGAAACCTGGTGTGGACACTGAAGGACTACAAGCACGTGCACATTGAGGGAAAAAAACGACTGGGCAAAGAACACTCAAGCCATCTATAGGCTGTTGGCTGGACCCTGAAATTGTGAATTTCATTGATCCCTGCCAACAAACTAAATTTGTTCACAGATGGCATGTAAAAATAAGTTGAATAAGCATTGTTTCCAGCATTTATGTGCCCATTTGATGAAGACATCGAGGCTCCAGTCCATAGACCAGGGGTATTCAATTAGATTTCAAAGAGGTCTAGTTAGAGAATTTCCTGAAGCAAAGGTCCGGAACATCAAAACGACGAACTTGCGTTATCATTCAGTACTATAACCTATAGTTGTATCAACACATGTTTTTAGTCAACAACGGACTCCCAGATAGCAGTTGACTCTGGGCCGGATCCGCCTCCAAACCGGCAGATCCGTGTAACAGTCACGCCCGTTATACTGCCCAGTTCCAGATACGGCCCGCATGTAGTCTGTGTACACTCAGGAGTGGGCGTGAGCATCCATCAGTCGGCGGAATCATAACAGTTCTGGCCCGGACTCGTCGGAACAAGCGCGCTCCCAGAATGCAGGGTTACTTGTGGTTCCTAGAGTCTCCAAAAGTAGAATGGGAGCCAGAGCGTTCAGCTATCAAGCTCCTCTCCTGTGGAACCAGGTGCCAGTTTGGGTTCAGGAGGCAGACACCATCTCCACATTTAAGAG